ATCACACTTGGGGGTAGTCCTGTTTCTTGGAAGAGTAAGAAACAACTTACCATATCCCTTTCCTCTGCTGAAGCTGAATACAAAGCTTTGAGGATGGTAGTAGCTGAACTGTCTTAGCTTTGCAGACTGCTTGGTGATCTTGGCTTGTTCATTTCTGCTCATGTTCTTGTTCACTGCTACAGCCAAGCTGCTCTCTACATTGCAAAGAATCATTTCACGAGCAGAGAACGCACATTGACATTGACTACTATTTTCTTCGTGATTGTCTTCAGTCCGGTCACATTTCCTTGAACCTTGTTCCTTCTGATAAGCAGCTAGTTGATCTATTCACTAAGTCTTTGTATGGTGTTGTTCATCGAGATATTCTGTCCAAGTGGGGAGTGTTTTCACCCTCCAGCTTGAGGGGGGTGTAAACATAAATGTGGCCCAAAGACCTATTCAGGCTCAATCTGGAAGAACTGAAGAGAAGGCCCAACAATAAGTGTTGACCCGGTCCAGTTTATTTTAATATTAAGCATATCATTATTCATTGTATTATAGAAAATAAAAGGGATAGCTGATTACATTTTGTACAGATAATTCATTTTACAAATAATAGAAAATATCTCTCACTCTTCGCTCATTTATCTTTTGTTTAGTCTTAGGGATTTTCCTCAAATTCCATTTTCTGCCTCGAATTTATATGTTCTAACACAACAAATTAATTATTTCTAGCTATATTTGAATTTTATAGCAAATCTATGAAATAAGAGATTAATTATTTTGAACTGAAACAAGAGAAGTAACTCAGTTGGTTAGAGCGCCCGCTTAGTTAGTGGAGGTCTTGAGTTTGACTCTCAACAAGGGCATTTTATTTTTCTGTATTTTTTTTATTTTGCGTTGGTTGTATTCGTTGTGCGATACAAGTTTATCCTTTCTATACACCCTTGTATATACAAGTTGTATTTGTTGCGTGAACGAATACAGTTGTCACAGAGTGTATTCGTTACGCGTTTAAACACAAGTGACACAATATGGTAACAATTGAATAAATGGTAATTAGGCAAATTATAGTTACTAGGCTAAACTACAGTGCTTTATGAAAATCACTCTAGTTTATTTAGACATTGGGCTCATAGATGGTTTGGACCAACAACTCATGTAGGCTTTAGCTTTGTAAAAATTACACGGGGTGCCCTATTTGGTCGCCCCCATTTAATCGATACCCACTTTTAAAAAAAGTTTTAACTTGTACCCATTTTTTAAACAACTTGAGGCATCTTTCTCCTCCTCCTCCTCCTCCTCCTTCTCCTCCTTCGTTTTCTTCTTCTCCTTCTTCTTCTCCTTCTTCTTCTTCGGGTGACAATGATTTTATATGATGGATGTGAACATATTTTAATGTAATTTATGATGTTTTACAATGGTGACCTGTTATGATGCTTTATTTTTTGTTATTGCTTAGGGTTTCTTCTTCTTCTTTTTCTCAATTGCAAAATGGGTTCATTAGATTTATTGTTATTTTGATAAATTAATGATTGGAGTTTGTTCCTGATGATATTTGGAGGTTATATTTCAAATTTGAGCTCATTTGGAGTAGATTTAGGTATTAAATCGTAAATTAGATTGTTTTAATTCGAAGAACAAATTTCTGTTTCTGGGCAATTTGCACTTGAGGCCTATTTGGCCTTAAGTGCATAAAAATATTGGTTGTACTTTAGACCTTTTGGCCTTAAGTGCATCTGAAGTGCAAATTTTCACTTCAGACTTATTGGCCTTAAGTGCATCTGAAGTACAATTTTTCACTTTAGACTTATTAGTCATTGGTTGCACTTCAGAGCTGAAGTTTGTGTGCAGACTTAGAACTTCAGCTCTAAGAATGCTGAAGTTAAGTAAATATAAACAAAAATTTCAATTCCTAGAATGCAGAAGTTCAGCAAATACAAAACAAACTCCAGCCCTAGAATGCTAAAGTTCAGCAATTACAAAATAAACTTCAACTCCTAGAATGTTGAAGTTCAACAATTACAAAATAAAAATTTCAGCCAAAACATGTTGTAGTTTTATTGAGCTAAAGTTTGCCATTGCACTATGAGCTAAAGTTTGCGTGATTGCCTTTGCAAGTCAGGCCAAACTTCAGGCAAAAATATCTGAAGTTTTGCTACACTTCAGGCAAAACATTCTGAAGTTCAAACTTCGGACATAAATTTTTGCTACTTCAGGCCTGTATGTCTGAAGTTACCCGAAAAATGGGTACGCTTGCAATTTTTTTACAAAGCGGGTATAAGTTAAAAGTTGACCCAAAAACTAGGTATAGATGCAAATGCCCCTTTAGCTTTTCCGGCTTTGTGAAGGACCAATGAAACTTGAAGTTACAATTGCAGAGTGTTAACCTTTATTAAGTTTGTTCCCTGTATTTTTTTGATAATCCTACTATATATCGGAGGGTGATTTTATACATGTTAGCTATCAGTTACGCTCACGGTACACATCCAGTAAATTTACATAACAATTGCAAATATAGTACGTCTCAAAATCTGTATATGCCTAGTTATAATTACATAAAGAATTTCAAAAAGCAGTCCACAAAAGGAAAAACTGTTAAAACAAAAGACTGGCCAATTAAGCATAATGTGGAACTGACTGTAGTAAACGGGGAGGTATTTGTAAAGTAATATTGTGCCATACGCACTTCGCAGTGGATGTTAGTATAAGTTGTAAAAGATTACATTCCATCTGTGATTAAAATTAGGAGAAGGGTAAAAAATATCCCTAACGTATGAAAAATGGCTCATAACTACCCTCCTTTTATCTTTTGGTCTAAAAATACTATCAACCTTTATTTTTGGCTCATGGATACCCCTCAAACTAACGGCCTAAATCTTGGTCAATTTGGCTCTTTAAAATAACCATGTGGCCTATTATGATTTGCCTTGTTTTTTAATTCAGAATTAAAATAAAACCCACTCATTTTTTAAACTCGCTCCGCTCTTGACCCATTTTTTAACCCTTGAATCCCGATCCTTCCGGCACCAGATTAGAGTAAAAGTGAGTGGTCATTATTGTCTTGCTGTGATCGAATAAGTGCCTGCAAATGGTTTTGATATTTGATTTCATAAGCAAGGCATATGCCTACATACACCAAACTGCAAATTCCCAATAGGAACAACTATAGAATTTTGCTTTATTTTATGGAACAAATTAAAGTACTTTTTCACAAAGATCAACGAAATGTGTATCTCCTAAGTCGCTAGGTAGGACTTTCTTTTGTGACAATACTGGTAGTGTCATCATTTGCGGACAAAAGGCTTGCTCATAAATGGTCGATTCCACGGTCTAAAAGCCATACTGATAAATAATCATTAGTATCGTAAAAAAGATATTAGTACTGCATTTGCGGGATAAATTTGAATCGTATATTGGTCTGGGAGTTTTGCATGGTTTTGGATTATCAATGACCCCAAGCCTTTTCGATTTTAGAGGAATAATAGACACCCCATATGACAAGCTTTCCTAGACAATATTAGCAGCATGAGAAAGAGAATCTACTAAAACTAACGGGTCAAGAGCGAGGCGGGTTTAGAAAATGAGTGGGTTTTTATTTTAATTCTGAATTAAAAAATGCGGCAAATCATAATAGGCCACGTGGCTATTTTAAAGAGGTAAATTTGACCAAGATTTAGGCCGTTAGTTTGAGGGGTATCCATGAGCCAAAAACAAAGGTTGGGAATATTTTTAGACCAAAAGATACAATAAGGGTATTTGTGAGTTATTTTTCATACGTTAGGAGTATTTTTGGTCCCCTTAAAATTTAATGTTTCATACTTGGAACATGCGGCATGCCACCACTTAAATAAAATACTCGAAACATGCTACTCGTTTGAACAATTAAAAACTAAAAGGCGTTGATGCTAGAATAAACAATTAAAAACTAAAATTAAGGTGTTCAGACTTCGTTTTCCTATTTGTTAACTTTTAGGTGAAGTTAAACCTTGTAAATTAACATTGTAACTTGTCATGATACCCTGGTCAAACGGATGTTTGCATCGTCTAATATAATCTTGCCACGTTTCCTTAACTCTCTGGCCTTTGAACGGAAACAAAAATAAAAGTTATATTTTTCTGGTCAACTTTTTGACCAGGGGAATCCTATACTCGATCTATATCAGTTTTTACTGATCTGTTAGCTACTGATATGTTCCTTTGGGGAAGGGCTCACAATCTTTACAATGTCATCTCAAGGAAAAAGAAATACAGTAATGATGAAAATGGGATTCTCTATTTTTTTATTCTAATTTTTATCTTTCCAGTTCATGCTAAAAATAGAAAGAAAAAGAGAGAAGAGAATAGTTTTAAAATTATCAGACTCTGATTACACAAGGATTGGTTTCCGAAAACCATATCTTAGTACAATGAAATACTAGTAATAGTTTAAGAGATGATATTTTTTACGTTAGAACATTGTCATTTTCTTTCTTTTTTCTCAAACAAGGACGTATGACCCAGTATAATTTCACTAGTGGGGTCTGTGGATGTTAGTGTGTACGCAGAACTTACCCCTACCCTGGGGTAGAGAGGTTGTTTCCGATAGACCTTCGGAAACCTCCCTCCAAGAACTCCCTACCTTTCTCTTGGTGTGACTCGAACTCACAACCTCTTGGTTGGAAGTGGGGGGTGCTCACTAACAGAGCAACCCACTCTTGTCAATATATATAGAACTAGTAGTACAAATTATACTACCACAAGTACAAGCCAATTTAAATTTAAGATCGAAATTACCGGTGACAACAAATAAAAACAACAACAACAATAATAATAATAATAATAATAATAATAATAATAATAATAATAATAATAAAATTTTCTCAACAGATAATAACAATAACAGTGCAAGAATTAAGCAGCTAAAATTCCAATTATTTTCTGACCCCGAGAGGCGACATGGTTGGATGTAATAAATCAAAGAATGTTACTACTCCTACATTACAAGGAAGTACTTATACTATATAAAACCGAGTGTCTCACAAAGTACTCATCCCCACTCCTCCTTGATATAATTATTGCTTTTTATTCCTAGTAAAAGATTCTTCCTTTACCTTAACAAATAATTTTAGAAGATTGGATTATTACCTGAGAGAGATAACAAGAAAGGCTACATATACTAATTAATTACTCATCTTCATAATTTTAATTTGGTTTTTTTTTTCTTCTCATGGATGCTGATCAGTCCAACTCAGACTCTTTTTCGTCATCAAATCTAAGAATCATCGTCCAGGAAAACCCTTCAGAAGCCCAACTCTCTGAATTAGGCATAAAATCTTGGCCAAAGTGAGTACATATATTCTTGATTGGTTTATATATAACTTTTGTTGTCTCTATTTCATTAAAGAAGTAATTTATTAGACTCATGAGTTTTGCTTTTTCTTCATTTGATTTATATAAACAGATGGGGTTGTTCACCAGGGAAATACCAATTAAAATTTGATGCAGAAGAGACATGTTATTTGTTGAGAGGGAAAGTGAAAGTGTACCCAAAGAACTCAACAGAAACATCAGTGGAGTTTGGAGCAGGGGATCTTGTGATTATTCCCAAAGGACTTAGTTGTACTTGGGATGTGTCTGTTGCTGTTGATAAACACTACAAGTTTGATTCTTCTTCATCCTCCTAAACCTTGATATTATTATTTTTTGTTAGGAGGAAACCCGCGACCGCTACACTTGATGCGCACCGGGTAAACCTCCTTGTGTAGTAGCCTGCAAACACTACAATTTCTATTTTAACTCTACACTGGTATCTCCTTTTCCTAAAAAGAAGAAAACTTTAAAATGTTTCTTTGACTGGTCAACTCCTTCATATTTATATCATATCAGATAAGCACATTACCCTTTATCAACAAAGATGATTTTTGCTTGAATAAGGTGTATGGTGCAGCTGGTGAATCAAATTAACATTTAATTGATGGGCTTGAGTTTGCTACTATAGAATATATTTTTATTGTTTTAAATTGCTGCATGAACATAGCTCTCACCTAGTCGCATAATTGTCTGAATTTCAAATCCCCAGTAAGTGCATATGAAATGTACAACAAACTTACCTTACGGAACTTGTAAACGTTAGTTATGATAATAAACTACGGAAAGCGAAATAGTAATAACTGCTGGAAAAAATAAAACCAGTAATAATAACGATCTAAAAAGTGAAACAAGAGGATAACACTAGTACAACTATGAAAGGAAGTACAAGTTTGGAAAGGAAAATAGTAGTAGTACTCGCGTTGATTGAGAACACTTTAAAGAAATGGGGATGCAGTTTCGCCACTTCTTCATCAAATGAAACTACAATTTACAAACTTCAACTGAGACAGAAAAATCGCTTCCAGATTGTTGATTTCATGAAACTGTGTAAAGAAGAAAAATAAAGGGAGAAATTTCCCCAGCATTTCATAGGCTAACCAACGTCTTCATAGTTCATACTCTTCATTATAAAAGTGGAACTTATTAGCATCCAAAATGGAGCAGGGTGGGAAATCAATCCTGCCCTTGTACAAATACAAGGATTCAAAATTCTTCTCACTACCTACCCTATTGGAAGGGATAGGGGAAAAAATCAACCGTGGCAATTTACAGGGGATCGACACGCCAAAATTTGGAAAAATATTGAGTGGAAAACTATCAGATTTACATGGCAAACGAAAATCTCAACTGAGAAAAAATCCCATTTACATACAACAGCTTACTCATTACTGTCTACTTTGAACGTTAGGCCCCCATATGCGAATAGTTTGATCATCACTCGCTGAAGCTAACATATGAGGCCTTTTAGGATTCCAGCTCACACAGTTCACAGTCATTGTATGGCCACACAAGATCTCAATAGGCTTTGAACCTCGACGATTCCATATATACACCTGTTACAACTCAAACATCATTTCCTTGCATCGATATACAAAATGAAGGAATTGGCTCTACCAAATATCGGCATGAAAAATAATATGCTGAATCATGCATAGATATGATGTAGCTACTTCGCAAACAGTGTGTGCTCGCCTTTGCTGCAAAAAATGCAGTCTAGGACAAAAGGCCAACATATGGCATGAGACTATTAAGCTTAAAGAAAAGTAGTCTCCAACAAATCATTCACATTAAAGTTTGAAGTTCTGGAATTTCATGCTTATTTGTAGTATTATTTTTTTCTTCTTTTGATGGTGGGGATTAAAGAACAAGCATACCTTTGAATCTTCACTACCACTGGCAATGAAAGTGCTATCCAATCCTCCGAAACAGGAGCGTATCACGTACTTATGTTGTCTGTGGCTTTTATATTTCATGGGGCTAAACCACTCGCCTGCAACATCCCACATATGAATCTCTTGACTATTAAGGTTTACTATGAAGAATTTACCATCCCCTGATAATGAAAGGGATGTGATTGGATGCTCCTCTGGAATCACACGTTCAGCACCTGTCCCCACATTCAATATTCGGATATCTTTGTCAGAAAATATGCTGATAAGTTTTTCTCCATCAGGTGTAACAGCAAGATCTAAAACCTTCGGCATCCGCTGCCCTCTCCACGATTTGATCTCCTTACCCTCACAGTCCCACATGTATATGCCTTTTTCAGGGTCCGAACTGCCACAGACGAATCGCTTAGAATCAGGAAACCAAGCACAAGAGCTGACAATGAAACCATCACCGCCATATGTGTGCTTGCATGTACCTGTTTCCACGTCCCAGAGCTTGAGCACTTCCATGTTCCCGCAGGTTAGCAACATTGTATCATCAGGACTCCATGCTACAAAAGAAACTGGCTTTTTGTGGCTCTGCAGCACATGTCTCTGGGTCAGGTTCCCATCATCCAGTACCTGAAAGTAATTATCAATCCAACTTAGGAAATAATGGTCAATCAAAATCTCGTAGCCTTGAGAATATGAGCTAATAGTTATGTTGTACACGATGATTAACCCTCATCCCAGAAACCTGCTGATGCCCCGTGAAATCAAATCATTTTTAAACGCAAATTGGACAAAGAGTTAGACGAGTGAATGACAGATTGATGGCGATTAAGGTAGTAGTTGGAGGGAGCACTCTGAATGTCATTAGCGCTTACGCGCCGCAAACAAGCTTGGACGAGGAGCTTCTGGGAGGTGCTAGATGAGGTGGTGCGGGGTATTCCGCCTACGGAGAAGCTATTCATAGGAGGGGATTTCAATGGTCATATTGGGTCGTCTACTAGTGGCTATGGTGAGGTGCACGGTGGCTTCGGCTTTGGTGATAGGAACGGGGGTGGTACCTCACTATTGGATTTCGCTAGAGCTTTTGAGTTGGTGATAGTGAACTCTATGTTCCCGAAGAGGGAGGAACATCTGATTGCTTTCCGGAGTATGGTGGCTAAGACTCAGATTGACTATCTCCTCCTCAGGAGGGGTGACAGGGGTTTGTGCGAGGATTGCAAGGTGATCCCGAGCGAGAACCTCGCAACTCAACATAGGATCCTGGTGATGGACGTCGGTATCTTGTTGAAGAGGAAGAAGAGATTTGTAAGGGGTCAGTCGAGGATCAGGTGGGGAGCTTTGTCTAAGGATAATGTAGGAGTTGGAGGGGCGGCTGATGAATATGGGTGCCTGGAAGAGTGGTGGGGAAGCTAGCGTTATGTGGACGGCGACGACGAACTGTATAAGGGAGGCAGCAAGAGAGGTGCTGGGAGTTTTGAAAGGTTACTCTGGCGGGCACCGAGACGACTGGTGGCGGAATGACGTGGTCCAAGGTAAAGTGGAAGCCAAGAAAGCGGCTTACATTAAGTTAGTTGAGAGCACCGACGAGGACCAGAGGAGAGCAAACAGAGAAAGATATAAAGAGGCTAGGAAGGAGGCGAAATTAGCGGTCACAGAGGCCAAGACTGCTGCTTTTGGTCGGCTTTATGAGGAACTTGGGGGCAAAGGTGGGGACAAGAAGTTATTTCGGTTGGCCAAAGCGAGGGAGAAGAAGGCTCGCGACCTGGATCAAGTGAGGTGCATCAAAGACGAAGATGGTCGAATATTGATGGAAGAGGCCCAGATTAGGCAAAGATGGCAATCGTACTTTCATAAACTTCTGAACGAAGAGGGCAATGGAAACATCGTGTTAGGGCATTTGGGGTACTCAGAGAGTCATCGAGACTTTAGGTATTGTAGGCGCATTAAGGTTGAGGAGGTCGTGGTGCGATGGGTAAGATGAGTCGGGGCAAAGCGACCGGACCAGATGAGATTCCAGTAGAGTTTTGGAGATATGCGGGTAGAGCAGGCTTGGAGTGGCTGACTGGGTTGTTTAATGTTATCTCCAGGACAAAGAGGATGCCTGGTGAGTGGCGGTGGAGTACAATGGTTCCGGTGTACAAGAACAAATGGGATATCCAGAATTGTAACTATAGGGGTATCAAGATACTAAGTCATACCATGAAAGTTTGGGAGAGGGTGGTGGAAGGGAGGATAAGAAGGGCGGTGTCTATATCGGAAAACCAGTTCGGATTCACGCCGGGTCATTCTACCACGGAAGCTATCCACTTTATCAGGAGGTTGGTGGAACTATACAGGGATAGGAAGAGGGATTTGCATATGGTGTTTATTTACCTAGAGAAGGCGTATGACAAGGTCCCTAGAGACGTCCTTTGGAGGGGTCCCTAGAGACGTCCTTTGGAGGTGCCTGGAGGTGAAAAGTGTGTCGGTGGCTTACATTAGGGTGATAAAGGATATGTATGATGGAGTTATGACTCGGGTTAGGGCTGTAGGAGGTGACTCAGAGTCTTTCTCGGTTGTTATGGGGTTACACCAAGGATCGGCGCTCAGCCCGTTCTTATTTGCTCTGGCGATGGACGCACTAACACACCATATCCAATAAGAGGTGCCATGGTGTATGTTGTTCGCTGATGATATAGTTTTGATTGATGAGACGCGAGACGGCGTTAATGGGAGACTGGAGGTATGGAGGCAGGCCCTGGAGTCTAAAGGTTTCAAGTTAAGTAGGACTAAAACGGAATATGTGGAATGTAAGTTCAGTGACGTGACGGGGGAAGCGGATGTGGAAGTCAGGCTTGACTCACAGGTCATCCTCAAGAGAGAGTTTTAAGTACTTAGGGTCAATTATCCAGCGAGATGGGGAGATCGACGGGGATGTTACGCACCGTATTGGGGTGGGGTGGATGAAATGGAGGTTAGCGCCTGGAGTTCTGTGTGACAAGAATGTGCCACCGAAACTCAAAAGGTAAATTCTATAGAGCGGTGGTTAGACCAGCCATGTTGTATGGAGCTGAGTCTAGAAGATGAAAGTAGCAGAAATGAGGATGTTGAGATGGATGGGCACACTAGGCTGGATAAGATTAGGAATGAAGATATTCGGGAGAGGGTGGGCGTGGCTCCCGTGGACGACAAGATGCGGGAAGCGCAGCTTAGATGGTTCGGACACGTGAGGAGGAGAAGCCTAGATGCACCGGTTAGGAGGTGTGAGCGGTTGACTTTGGCGGGTACGAGAAGAGGCAGAGGGCGGCCAAAGAAGTATTGGGGCGAGGTGATTACGCAGGACATGGCGCGGCTTCAGATTTCCGAGGACATGGCTCTTGATAGGAACATGTGGAGGTCGAGCATTAGGGTGGTGGGCTAGGGGGTAGTCGAGAGTTCTTCCCTCTTTGTACCGGGTAGACTGATAGAGTTCTGTTTAGGGTTGTTAGCGGTCTATGCTGTGTTCACATGGTTGGTTGCATAGTTTTGTGTTATTGTCCTTTCCCTTATTCGTGGTTGTTATTTTCTTTCTAGCATCTTTTGTTGTTACATGCCTTTTCTTTTGTTTCTTTTCTGATATTATTGTCTCTCTTGTTGAGCCGAGAGTCTCCTGGAAACAGCCTCTCTACCCTTTTCAGGGTAGGGGTAAAGTCTGCGTACACTCTACTCTCCCCAGATCCCACTGGTGGGATTTTACTGGGTATGTTGTTGTTGTTGTTGTTGAAAAGTACCAAAAGAAATCCGTCAGTTTGAAATTAAAAATATAAAAAATCTAATTTAGTACAATAAAAATGCAACTAACTTTAGCATCTAATATACATTAACGCTGATATTAATCCAACTCCAAAAAAGTTGATGATTCAAAGAAAGTGACGGATTCTCTTTGAATCATTTTGTGCTATGTTATTTGAAGCGCAAACTTCTCTAAATCGCATGGCTTCACCCATGAAGCAATAACCCCTCGTTTCGCATTGTTTCATCACTTATCAGAATCTAAGAGAAATTATCTATGGTTTAAGACAAAATATCTTGACCAAGCCATACGTACACACAATCACCAAGGATACTTATAAACCAAATGCTTAGTTACTGTCAGAAATATCAAAACTAGATGTCATGTCTCCCAAAATCTGTTCGGATCAGTCACATGACTAGATGTGACATCTGACAATGTTACAAAGTACATGCACTAAGAAAAGGTTGAGAAGTCTACTTATTCCCGATGAAGGTCTTCATGGAATCACAAGCTCAATTTTATTGTTTCTGCTTAAAATTAATGTTAATGGTTATTATTCTTATAATAACAACGACAAGATCTAAAATATTTTAGCCTTAATGATGTCTTTCCAATGTCTTTTGGGTCCATCCCTTTACGAAGCACATGACGGTCAACATTCTTTGACCCATTTGTATTGGTTGCTACATTTGTCCTTAACAATTTCCGTTAAGCTAACCCGGCCAACCAATTTATGGTAGAGGGACGGGATAGAGGAACCATCTAACACTAATTTCAACCTTAGTGCCTAGGATTGTTATATGGCACAAAAGGAATATAATCATACATAAATCAAAGTTTAGCTTCATAATGCTGGTAATGCTTGACCACTTTAAGATTGATCCTAAGACTTATCTCTGCCTTTCCACTGGCCACATGACTGCTGTCAAGCTTTACTTGAAAATTAGAATACAACGGGAACACTTAGCTCTAACACCTCAAAATTTCAGGACAACAGATTGACCAGCTATGAGTATTGAGTACACCAAAGTAGCCTTATTTAGGCAACTTGAGAGCACGAATTTGCTGGAAAAGTTGCACTTTATTGCTTGACAAAATGCTAATTCTGCAGCTTAGTTGTCGCAATTCAAGATACACCTATGAGATGAAATCCCCCCCCCCCCCAAACACCAAATAATCTTTATCGAAAGAAATAAATTCTCAGGAGACATAAAATAAGTTCAAGAAATAAGTATCATTTACGTGTTCTCTAAAATATTTCCTCATGAGTATGCTAGTAAAATTTGAAGGCAGACTTTAACATTTAGCTAGGTGGGAAACTAAATTGTGGCAGCTACCTTTAGATTGGATGACACTGAACCTACTATCCAACGCAAGATTCAGAACTTCCCCTCTCCCTCCTGAGATTTAGTTATAAGCCTATGTGCACCCAGATTGTGATCTAGCGGTCAATAATGTGGAATATAAACTATGGGGAACCAGGGTCCAAATCCTAGCAGAGGCAAAAAACGCTAGGTATAATATCACTGTTCAGGAGCTAACTCTTCTTTTTGGTGGTTCACCAACATGTAACCTTCAGCACCTACTGGATGAAATTTAAGTGGAATTCCATCTTACCTGATTAAAAAAACGCTAGGTATGATTTCTTCTCACATACATAAACCTTGGTAAGTAGAGTACCAGGTACCTGTGTCGGTGGGAGATAGGAGGTAATAGGTGGAATAGTCAAATTATAAGCCTATGTTGCTGATAACTAGGGATGGCAATGGGGCGGTGCAGGGGCGGGGCGGGTTGCGGGTTTAATGCGGGTTCAATGCGGGGCAACTTTAAATTTTAACTTTTTTGAAACAAAGCAATCATTTCAACTACAATTTCACATTCTTCTTTACTAGCACGAATACTATTTTGATTCATAATTAACCAATTTGCATAAGTTTCACCAAAATGATATTACATAAGTCAAGATATCATATTAGTAATAGGAAATGATAATAACTCATTTATTTTGGAAGATCAGCGTAATACTCTCTCAGTTTTATATTTATGTGATTCTATTAAACTCTCCATTTTAAATGTAAAAGTTAAACTTATTAGTCATCAATTGATTAACCATTTTCTAAGTGGAAAATATAGTTCCCATCCATATTTGACTCAGTTTTGAAAAGTTAATTATCCAACCAATTTTTTAATGGATAATATAGGTAAATAAATATTTTCTTTTAACCATTTTGCCACCCTAGTAATCACTTTCCCATGCATTTACGGTTTACCATAAAATTAATACATCAGCTAATTAAAACATAATATCCTACGTAAAAGGGTTTAACAGTGTAAAAATATTATATAGTCTTCTAAGATGGTTTTTCGTGAAAAATATAATGTAGTCCATGAAAAAATTTCAAACACATAATACTCTCTCAACGAGTATTACTTTCCTGGAATTTAATAATTTTAATATTGTAACATCTCTGTCCGAATTTGCTCTAATTGCAAGTAATTTAATTGAAGCTTGTTCTTGGGGGATTATCTCAAGTCATTTTAATTTAGCTTTACCATCCATGAATTTTAGAGTCATTTACTAATCTCTTGTAAACTACGAGCGTTCGACGCTCTACCAAAAAAATTAAAGAAAAATTAAGTGAGGCGGGGCGGGGTGGGGCGGGTCCAAGCAGAGCGGGTTGAAAACTGAAAAAATAACTATGCGCGGGGCGGGTTGAAATTTTTGTGGGTTTTGCTAAACCCGCATCCGCCCCGCCCCGCCCCATTGCCATCCCTATTGATAACTACCACCTTTGGATTTTCATCCTACTAGATAGTTTTAAGGCTATATCGAAGTTACAGGATACTTCTCATTTTCCGGTGATAATTGCTAAGTAAATGAGTGCGTAATCTTTTTTTTAGTTAATACTTATTCAGTCTTCCAACTTCAGTCTCTTTAATTTTGTACTTACCATCATAAATTATCATTCAATTTGAAGCTATAATTGATACACCATTAGGGGTATGGAATAACCACTCCACCATATTCACAGCCCGTGCCCATTAAGCTATTAAAGAAATAAGGCTTTATTTTCTTTATAAGAAAGTTATAGCTGCAAAATCCTAAATGAACACCATCTATCAAATAAACAACACACACACACACATATAGAGAGAGAGAACTAACTTCTTTTTGATAGATGGTGTTCATTTAGGATTTTGCGGCTATATTTTTTTTAAAAGAATTATAGCTGAGGACAGGTAAATTCTTCAACCGAAGCATAAACCTGGAAACCACTTCCCTACCTTTCTCCTCAGAAAAAGAATCTTGACTGGATTATTTCCTGCTAGTAACAGTCAAGTGAACAACCTAAATTCACTTAGAGCACAATTTCTTGATAAAAGATTCAATTGACCAAAGGAAAAAAAGTTTCTTATATAGGCTTTTAAGAATGCATAAAGGACCTGCAACTAAGACATGGATTTCTTGGTAGCATTTATCCAGAAAGCAGAATAAGTAACTTTTTCTGTTTAATTTGGTTTCATCCAATCTTATTACTCTAATTCTAATTCATCTTGCAAAAAGACATGAATAAATTTCTCCTGCTTATTCCATGAAAGCACTTACTCAAACAACGTAAATAGGTTAACTCTGACAAATTCCTAGCTTATGGAGTTTCAAAGCTGCAGGGGAGTGATCCTTAACAAGTATCCCCTCTATCCATGATTTAGGTCTATTTTTCAACAGCACAACTAATCAATTTACCGGAATAACCCAAATTAGCAGTAGGAGTAAACTCCTGGAGTTTTAAGACTTGCATAGCAAACTTAATTGTGATATTATGAAACACACCTTCCATATGATGGCCGTGCAGTCACTTGATGATGATGCCAAGTAGTTTCCGTTGTTAGAGAACTGCACATACCAGACCTCATTCCTGTGGTTAGTCAGAATCTGCAACAGTGTTAAAGACATTAAACACGTCTCTCCTAGAGAGAAGCTAGACGAACAATGACAACAAATTAGTAACGAGAGAAATTACTCATGATCACGGAGTGATAAGTCCAATCTTCATTAACTCCACACAGATTAAACGATTCTATAATAGAAAACCATTCC